CCAAAACTGCACAAAATTAACAGAAATTTTAAAAATAAAATAATTTTTGAGAACAGGACAGAACAAAACAAAACAAAAATAGTACGTTTAATAAATATTTTTGGGGGACCTAAATTGTACAAATTAAATCGAGATTTGGAAAAATAAAATAAAATAAAATAACATCTTTAATATTTATTTCCTGAGGAACCCTAAATTATACAGGAGAAAAACAACAACTGAAATTTGAAAACATTATGATTAGTCTATAATTCGTTTAGCCATTTAGCTCTTTACTTCTGTTTATTGTATTTAGGTTTCAAAATTTATAGAACTTGTGTTCATGAAGAATCATGGATTACGGAGTCAGTTGAATTGGCTAAGATCTAAGGTAGAATGTGTTGATTGTATTCTCAGCAGGGTTTTCTTCTCCGGCCTCGGTGGGGGATAGAGAGGGTGATGAGGGTGAGAGAAAGGGCCAGCACTCCCCACTCGCCCCCCTGCCCATGTCAGACTGCACCAGCATGCCAAGATCAATCTGGGGGGAGAAGAGAGGAGATGGGGGGCAGGTTAGAAATTGTGTAGAGAGTGAGACTTTAAGAAAGAGAGAGGGGGGAAGTGGTTTACAGAGGGCAAGACAAGAGAGACAAGCCTACACTTGTACCATTGTGATCTCTTTCTCACCTCATGTCCCCTCACTGACCATGGCAAAGGTCTGGAGAAAGTGAATCACAATCTCACAGTCCGTGGAAGACGTGGCAGAATCAAAGCAGGAAGGAGACCTTTACCCATCAGTCTTTTTGCAGTAGAATCACTTCAAACAAAACCCATATAATAACTTGCCTGTCGCTGCCTCAGTGTTGGTCTTGTAATCAAATTCATCTGCAGTGCAACAGAAAGGTCTATTGTAAACTTTTAATGGAAAACAATAAGCAACAAGGACTTTTCTTTATCTGCTTCTCAAAAGACAATGTGATATATGTTTGTACCATAGAACATTAGTAGAAACCAAAGCCATTCAAAAGACAGGTCAAAATCAGGCATGCAACAACAGAGATATTAATAAATAATGTACTGTGATGGCATTGTGTCGAAAGCAGGTTCAGGAGGCTGAAAGAATCAAGTCGGGGTGAGGGGCTGAGATAGGTGTGTGTGAGTGAGTGCGTGTGGATCTGAGTGTGTCAGATGAGACACCACAATGATCTCCGCACCAAATGGAACTTAAAGGTCACCTCCTAGGAGAACGGCTCTCACTCTAAACTTGAGGAAGAGACCTTTTTACTCAGGAGAGATGAGTGCAGTAATATAGGAGGAGATTGGACGTACATTGTGTTATTAGGATACATATTGAAGATGTGTGATGCACAGTGTAGCCTTGTTAAGCTTGCTTGACAATGAATACTTGAACACACATCTTCTGTGATGAGCATGTTTTTAATTTCTGAACATTTTTTTTAATATTTTTTGGGGGCATAAATTCAACTCTCCTGATATTATAATAAAGAAAAAAAGCCTAATTGAAACAATGAAATTCAAAATTTTAAGTAGTTTGGCATATCCTTATGCTATATATATATATATATATATATGTATTATAATAAGCCTAATTGAAACAATGAAATTCAAAATTTTAAGTAGTTTGGCATATCCTTATGCTATATATGCTATATAATATATATATATATAATAAGCATTAAATTAAAATAGCATATGCAGTTACTTTAATTATAATACATTTCAATATAATAATAATTAATAAACACAAAATTATAATTGATCAATTATTGTCAATTCACAAATTATTTTTTAAAAT